TCATCAAACCTAATATAACTTATTATCATACTTATCTTTTTTGTACCTTTCTTCCCAATATCATGCCCATAAAATTCTTAAACATATCAAACTTTTCACATGATTTCTCCACCTCTCATCCTTATTTGATTTCTTCATGGTTAAACATATCGGACACATCAGTTCAACTGAATCCTTCCAATATATTATACAATATATCATGAAAACTTTATTCTTATTATACTACACATCAGAAATATTACTTTCTCATTCACTATACATCTCAATATCTCAAGTCAATATTATTATTTTTTGGTTCTCAGATGGATTTTCACTTAATCTTATCTGATTTAGTCTTACTTTTACCACCTTTCAATAATATCATATACCATCATAAATATATATCAAATTCACATTGATCCAATTCCATTGTGTCAGATTGATTTTGTCCTTATGTGCCACCTTTTGATAATAAATATCATGTTATTGGAACATATCAGATATATATTCTTCATATACTTCAACATCTTTTTTGATTATAATGATTCAAAAAATACACCCTCATAAATTATTCAGATTTTTCACTAAATTCCTTAAAATAATATCTTTTGATTAACTCATATCCTTTATAATTATCAACATTTATTAATATCTCTTTTATATTATATTTCTAAATTATAATATCAAAGAACATATGAATCCTATTTACATCAACTCTCAACTTTTATCATTTCTCATAACACTATAAATATCTTTTTATCATATATTTCAAATCATTCTTAATATTAATTGATAAAAAATCAAACTTATTCGAATAATCCTCAAAAACAATAAAATAATTACATTCAAACAAATCCTTCATATTTATGCAAATCAACTTCTATCTAGTATCCCATGAGATACCAGATGGAATTATTTATTTATTTAAAATATAAATATCAAAATTTAAATTTATAATAATGATTTTTTAAAACATTGAAACATAATAAATATACTAACAATTATCAATCTTTTTAATATTATAATTCAAATACAAATTCAGTATCAATTAATCATACTTATTATATACATCAATCAAATATTTATACTGATTCTTATCAGATTTATGACCATACATTACACAATAACTAATAATCACATCAGTTCTAAGTTTAAAAAATATTATATTTTTCACAAAAAACAGAAACATAATTTTTTTCTTACAATTTTCCAAATATTTAACCAAATCATCACTATCTACTATCAACTCTGTAAATATAGTCATATCCAAATAAGTTTGATTAAGAATAATATAATCATATGATTTCATCATCTTCAATTCTGTCATAAATTTTCTATATTTCTCCAATATTACATGTTGAAAAAAAAATAAAAATTTTTGAGAATCACTAAGAAATAGATTGAATTTTTTAATTAATCTTAAAGATATCTCCTTCAAAATATAAACATTCTTTTCATCAAATTTGAGTTAATTCTTCAATCCATTAGTATAAGTTGTTTTTCCAATTCCATTTACACCTATTGAAATAATAATTTCAAGAATTTTTTTTTTCTGAATGAATAAACATATTGCATAATCAAAGTTGTCAACTTATTGATAAAAAGATAAAATAAAAACCAAAAAATGACTTTGTTAAAAGAAAATTTTTCTAAAAATGAAAGTGTTATTATTATCTTTTTAACATTTATCATCACATATTCATACAAATCCAATACTCTTTCTGCTGATCTTCTGACCATACACAAAAAGATGTTCGCAAGAAGTTTTGATACTTCTATGCTAATAAAGTTTTATTACTTTCTTTAAACCAATTCAAAGAGTTCTCTCAGAACTCACTCACCTCCTTTTTCTCTTGTTTACAATCTCTTTTGAACAAACTGAACTCTTGTAACCTACAAAGTTCAGCTCATACCTTTACTACCTCTGGCAAGAAAGTTCCTAAAGGGAAAAGGATCAATAGTGCAGTACCTGTCACCTCTCAAATATGGTGGAGATAACAGAGGTTCTGTTCCAGTTAAAAGACTCATTCATCCACCCTTTGACCGGCTTTATGGTCTCTTATAGCTATCTTTTTCATGGCTTTCTGGGGAATTTTGCCTATCCCAGCTTGATCCTGAAATTTTGGGTAGCACAGATCTCGCCAATTCTGATTGGCTGACATGAAACATGCTAGACAAGATTGATAAACAGGCTTCTATTGGCCATCTTATATGTTTAAATGCATTTTCTCAATTCTATAAGAACCTGGGATCCACTATAAGGTATTTGTGTTGATGCAGATGGATACAAGACATACCATTGACACATCATTGGATATAAGTAAGAGTCCGTCTGACTATAATAAAGGTTACAAGATATTCGATTGACCTTTTTTCAAGTTAGAGCCATCTATATCCTGATTGTATGTTAAATAGGTTTCAACCTCTACTGCCTGGAAAAGTTCAAACCAAAGAAAGTATGGAACTATTAGGGATACTCAGTGATAAAGCTCATATACAAAACAACTCAAGGAGTTTTCGTCTTATCTTCAAAAAATCTCAAGCTAAAAGACTGGAAGGTTAACACCGTTATATCAATTGAAACTCGAGTTCAAAAATATCAGCAGTAATGTGCGAGCTGGTCAAAATATCTAGAAGATCCTTGTTGATCGTTAGTACCAATAGTCATTAGCAGGGTATGTCAATCGCAAGGCTAGGTATTATCCCTTATAAAAGAAGTAAATATAAAATAAGAGACACAGATGGATAAATATACTCATATTTAGATAGGAATAGGTTTAATTGATGATATACTGGGAAACTTTTAAGTCAATCATGTGAACACCAATATATTACCTGGACCTTCCTGGTTACTCCTTCTCCACTAGCCTTAAAACTGTATAGTCTTTCTTTTGGCCTCCATCTTATCTCTGTAAAGACTCAGTAGAAGTCTTCTCCCAGACCTCTCAACAAAAGGAACCGAACAAGACAGGTATGTATCAAGAAACAGAATCAATATATTGCACATGACTATCTATTTTAATTTTTTATTTTTTCTTGTATTTTCATTTATGACACCAGCATGCTCTAAAGATGCTGATTTTTATTTTATAAAAGAAAGAACAATAAGCCTTGAAGTAACTTTAGAATGAACTTTAGCTTATTGTTATTTTTATCGACCCTAATCATACATTCATGTATTTGTGTTTTGTACAGTGTACACTTGTAATTTGGAAATCAATAAAGTTTTGTATGAGCCTGTCAAAAAAAACAAAAAAAAAAAAAAAAATTTATGCAAATCATATTTTATCCAGTACTCATATTTAAACAAGTATCAGATGAAACTTTTTTATTAAAATAAAATAAAAAATAACAATTTAAAATATAATAAATCATTCAAATTTCATAATATTATTCTCATTTGGTTTGGATTTTTTTTTATTTGGAATTATCTGATTCCACACTCATATTATTTACTCCTCCCACAATTTTTTCTACAACTACATGTCACCTCTTTTTCTTAAATTTCATAATCATCTTTTTAATTTTATCAAATTTTTTAACCAAAGATAATGTTAATTTATCTTTTATATTCACCATATCACCCAACAAATAAAGTTTTCAATCTTTATTATTTCTAGATTCCAATTGATCTGGAATCAACTCTTTCATATATACATAATATATTATATATTTATAAAAACAATTCATACTATCAAAATCAGAGACATACTTATACTTATATATCTGATAAAGATCTTCTTTAGATAATTCAATATTCATTTCCTCCCCAACCTCTTGAATTATGTATATCAAATAATCTTTATTATTCTCATATCTTCTATCCAGAACTTGAAGAAGTTCAAAAAAATCATTATTCACATTATTATAATAACTCAACCATATATTTTAATTATTATCAATGAGCAATACAATTAAAAATTTCTTTGAATTCACCTTATATAATTCAATCTCTTGTTTTATATTAATCATCTATGAAAAATTATAGTTGAATATACTGTTTAAATTATTCACATTATTAAATTTTCCATCAGAAATAAATGTAAATGCTTGAACATATCTTCAAAAAATCAAGATGGTTTCTTTAATAATCTTCAAATTTTTTAATTTTTTTCAAATATTCCTTTATTTTTAAAGTTACGCAAACAATGTTCCATTTGGTCCTCAAACAAGAACACCAAATGAAGTTATTTATTATATAAATGATATCTCTTTTTTATTACATTATTTATAGAAATTGAACCTATTCTACAACTAAAGATGGGTCCCTAAAGGGAGAGGCAGGGACAAAAGTCAAATGTCCTTTACTAGGAAATATTAAAATTTTTAAATTAATAACTATAAAAAAACTACCCACAATTGTTCTCCATCATCCAAATGATTGATTTATAGCATTTCCTGACTTTTGTTCCTATTAAAGTGAAGTGCTATGAATTTTGTCCCTCAAAAAGGGACATAAGTGATCTGTGAAATTTTATATGCTAAATACTTTAAAAATCCATCATTACCTACAACTAATGATGGGTCCCTAAAGTCTAATATTATGTTCTATAACTGAAAGTTTTATAACCAAAAGTGAATTATGTCCCCTTCAGACTTTAGGTTATGGGATATAATTATGGTCATAAATTCCACCATGCGTGCTACAGATTCCAGTATCGGAATAGGTTCCCTTCTTACAGATAGGGCATATTGTTCTAGGATGGGCATTAAAATGTCTGGAACATCCTTCGGGACGCCAGCACCCTTTCCCACAAATCGAAACATCTTTCTTGATGTATTGGCATATAAAAAGGGCCATACAAGGTAATTTTGATATTAATAATCTCAAACTTCATATTCACTTTTATTATAGATATTCAAAAATGTGATACTCTCAGCGGGTCATATCTCCTGGGATATAATCGAAGAAATGGTCATGCAAAGCGCCTGGTTTGGAGAACCCCGGCCAGGTGGAATATTTTTTTCGAATTGAACTTTTTCTCACATAATATAATAACTAGATAACAGTTAGTATTGACATGGCTACCAAAACGGCTACCTCAAAGACCCGAAAGCCTAAAGCTAATAACTTTGTATTGATTTTAGAGCAGTTCCTAGAAAAGCATAATTTGACAGCCGACTCTACCCCAGAACAATTAAGCAAACATGCTCCCGAACTGGATACTTTACTTCCTGCTGATGATTGGATGGCCCGCAGGTGTGTTAAAGTTGCCCTTGCCAAAGGTACTAAAAAAAGAAGTGTATTTAGCAAAGAGCGAATAGAAGCTCTCTTGCCAGATAAGAGAAAGGGAAAACTCACCATAGAGGAAAGGGCAAAATACTGCGCTAAAACCGGTGATTTTATAGACATTGTCGCTAATCATTGGAAATTGGGTCCAAAAAGTAATGATGAAAATGAAATTGTTGCCGGCGTCGCACGTCAGTCAACATTCCGTGTGAAGTCAGCAGAAGGCGGTGTAGATACTGAAATTATTGATACCTTTGCCAAAGATAAGGATCGTATCCAAGAGTCTAATAAAATTCAGAGAAAGCGCACTAAGAAACGAATGGCTAAAGCACAAAGAATTCCAAAACATTTCTCCTTAGCAAATGTGAGTAAAAGAATTCAGAACATGGATGTTTCCAAAATTCCTACTAGAGAGGATCTTGCAGATGTGATAGTGATGCTGAGTATGAGACCTTCAGAAGTAACATTTCTTCAAATTAAGCGTTATGAGCCAGATGAACCACTTGGGATTGATCTTCCGAATATTCCAGCATGGTATAAAGAGGGATATTCTTGGTATTGTACAGGGTATAAGAAGGCAGATGGAAGAATTCCTCGTCCACTTCTTTCCATGGAAAAAGAATCCAGAACGCGCAAGAGAATTGCTTATCTGGATTCAAGACGCAATTAAGGCTAAAAAGTTATCTGATCCTGTCTTTACTGAAAGTGGGACACGTAGTGCTTGGCCATTTAACGAATTCTTAAAGCAAGAACCTTATAGAAGCATACCTAGGGAATTAAGACGTTATGGAAAAAGGCATGCTTCCAGAATTTATGGTGGAAAGAATGCAACTCCAGAGGAGCTTAAACGACTTTCAAAATCTCATTGAGGCAAGAATCAGACCGTCTTGATGCGGGAGATAATTATGCTATGGGCGATACGGAATCAGAAGACTCTGGTCCTGAAGATGAACATAACTCAGAGCCGGAATCAGAGTCCGCAGAAAATGAAATATCTGGAAGACGCATAAATTTCTGCGCATTATTTTTTTAGCTATATTATCACCATTTAAATGGCAAGCAAGCATTTTAATTATCCGCCAGATAGTATCAATAATCGGATAACGGAAGCAGAAATAAATTGTGGTAAATTATTCGGGATGCTTTCAAAGCAGATCCTCACATTGGAAAAAAGAATAGATGATCTCCACTACCGACTAGGGAAGAATGAAGTACTAGTGGAGTTAGCAAATAAGCATTGTGCCTGCTCCCAAATGGACCCTTCCAATTATGCGAAGTGTTTGAGCTGTAGACATTCCCTTCCAAAAGTTTATTTTTGAGGGATTAATTGAATCGGATAAATTATCATGTATGGCTAAAAAATCGAGAAATAATAGGCGCAAGACTGAAGGTAAGTTTACTACTAACCCCACACAGTATTTGCCATTATGCAATCCGTCAAAATATGACCACACATACGATAGGGCAACTGGCTTTATTACTATTAGGAATATAAGGCAAGATAGAGTTGTAGGTGTGTTCGATTATCCTGAACTGAGCGAAATATCTGGCAGTCCGAACCAACTAGTCAGCTGGCACGAGCAGTGATCGTCAGCTCGGAAGACTTAGCACAGATTTCTGCGCAATGATGTAATAGCCGATCAACCAGGCAGGTTTGTGCGACATATTAATTTTCTATATATTCGGAAGAGAAAACGTATTAACCTTTATTCTTTATTTTTTTCCCGAACAAACATGAAAGGAGGTCTACTTGCAAGACAGGACCTACCCCATAAGTAAATATTGACGGCAAAAGCATATGTTATGAAAGGCCGAGGGAGTCACAATTTCGAGATCGCCAGGTGTAAAGCCAACTATATGTCTTGCAGGGTAGATCTACATGTGAAAAGGTAAGAAGATTCCGTTTACATGGAACTCTTGGCATCATACGACAATACTAATCACGCCTCATATCTCCTTAACTTTTTCCCAGCAAGATATAAAGCATGTAGGGGTATGTGGAAGTTCAGCCAATTTTCCGCAAAAATAATTGAGGTATGTATATGCCAGAAGTTGTGTATGTACGAGAGCGAGTTTTTCTCACTATGAGCTTTGTAAATAGGAATCAAGATGTCTTCCGGTGAAGATAATATAATTCTTCATTGTCTTATTGTTCCTTGTGGTCAACTTCATGCTCTTCCACGTGATCAAGTCATGCAAGCAGTTACAGTTGGCAGGAGTCAAGCAGTCAGTGTACTTGAAGCTACAATTCAAAGCAGATTAGGGGCACCCTTTAATAATATTCGCCTAAAAATTCGTCAAGTTTATCCCAGAGAGGCGCTCATGCAACCACAGGATTTGATTTCCACTTTTTTTAATGGACAACCTCGAGAAGACTATTTCCATGTCGTCGCTCAACCCCTCTTAGGATCAGAATAATTTCTTATATCATGTATTAGCGATATATTCGCAATTTTATGTATTGTAAGCCGACTTCCGGCAACATTTTTTATTTCATAAATAAAGTATTATTATTGTACTGTACATGAGAAATGGGTGCGGTCCATGTAATATCAGGACTAGTCGAAGACGCTAAAGCATAAATCTAACATTTTTATCCGAACCAATCTAGCCTATAAGTGAGAAGAGTCTTCACGGTTAGGAAGGCGCAGTGGCTAAATACGGCAGTCTGTGAAACAGTTGAATTTCTCACATATACCAGCCCTCAGTATTTTTTTCGCAAATAAAATTCTTTTTACTCTTGTCCTCACATACCGCACTTTGAGCCAATAACATTTCGCAAAAAATACTATATAAGCCGAAAACATGTCTATCACTTTATTCTGCCTTATTAAAGGAAATACAACTGCGAGCGCTTTCGAAGTTGATATTGAGAAGGACAAGTCTATTAGCAAGCTCAAGGAGGCTATAAAGGCGAAAAAACAAAATGACCTCGCTGGTATTGACGCAGACAGGCTCAAGCTATGGAAAAAGGAAATTCCTGACGATCAGGACGATCTCTTAAGCAATCTCACACTCAATGACGGGGACGAACTCCTTGCGACAAAAAAGATTTCGAAATACTTTCCAGACTCACCTCCCGAAGAACATATTCATGTCTTGGTCTCTCCGCCAGAGACCACCGCCACTTCGAGCCGTGAACAGGAATTACTTGAGCAAGTCACTTCGTTGCAGGCATTACTCAACAAGTCCACACATGGTATGTATAAAATAGTTGGAAGAGAGACTTTGTGAGAATTTTCTAACTGACCATTGTATTATAGATTTTGAAGTCGTTGTTCATCCGAAACGGAAGCCAAATAAGTGGACCGCAAATATCGAACATGCGACTCTCGAAGGCCTCAAGGAGTATATACGCAAGATGTATCAACCACCCGCACTTGAAAATGATGGGGCGGAACTAAACTTAATGAATGATGGAGAGAAATACTTCCCTCATAATGATCAAGACCTTCGTTAGATGCTCTGCATATTCATATCAAAGAACAATCTCAAGTTTACCGTATTCATAGAAACACCCTCAAAAGCTTTCTCGGATTGGACTTTCCCAAAAGTGTGCCAGCTTTACGAACTCTGAATCAGAGGATCCTTCATTATCTGTCTTTCCACCTTTCACTTGTGAGTACAAAGAGTTGGAAGATGGTTCTTCCCAGGAAATACTTAGAAATCTTATAACCGAACTGAAGGCCCGTCTCAAGTCCATTCCAATCAGCGGAAATGAAGCATCAAAATCACAATACGTATGTTCTTACCTTGTTGCCGGAGCGAATCTATATGAAGGGAAGTTCGAGCTCCGACCAGAAAAAAATATCACAGGGCCTAATGGACATGGACCAGTTGATTTCGCGATAGATTTACTCCAAACCGCAAAAACTGTTGGCGTGACAGAAGTAAAGGACGAAGATATTTTTAAGGATATTGCTCAGAATGCTGTACAACTTGAATCAGCCTTATCAAACTGTAAACGTAAGGCGAACGAGATGGAAGAAGGAGATGTTTTTACTGGGAAGACTTTTGGGATCATCACAGATGCGGAAAAGTGGTATTTTATGGAATGTTCGTATAATGAGGGGAAGCCTTCTTTCAAGCTATCGGAACCAGTGACTGTCGTGTACAAAGATGAGAATATGCAAGCTAAGGTGGAAAGAGTCCTCGGACATATTGTGTGGTTGTTGGAGGAGGCACAGAAGCCGGATTCTGATTCTCAAAGTGAAGAAAGGGTAATAAAAAAGCATAGGTCATCGAGCAATCTTACAGTAGTGTAGTTAAGTCTTAGTATAGACATCATGTATCACGGGCTACGTCCCGATCTTGTATTTATTTTTCGCATGTATTAATATAAAACTATCTTGGCAAAAACCGTTCCCTCGGGGAACGATCAAAATCACGTGATTTTTTTTTAAATATGAAAGTGCGCATGGATAATAAAGAAATACCTTGTAATTGGTTATTAGTTGGAGAGACCCGTTTCTGTAAAAATTCGACACGAGAGGAATATTGTGCCTCCCATGCATTCAAAATACGAAAGGGTGTAATAATCCCACAACCATGTAAAGGATGTGGTCGGGGGACTAAATCGAGCGTTCGGCTCTGTGTCCCATGTGGTCAAGGTAAGGAAAGAGCATATATATACTATAAACGGAAGTATGCGGAAGGAAATTAAACATATCAATTTCATAAGTACTAATCAACTATTATCAGTTTCATAAATGTTAATTTCAAGAATTAGTAATCAAGAATCGGTCACTCCTAACGAAGTACTCAACCTTCTAACGGGGCGTTGGATCAAAACTAATGGTAAGCTATTCCAGAAGCTGATCCGCGAAGGTTATAGATGCGCTAATAGACTTTCGGATTATTTGGAAGATATTGGAACTATATCTGTTGGTGAATTCGAATTAGATCCTTTAGCTGACTTTTACCACCCAGCCTTAATTCCGCCCTTATCTACCTTAGCAGAAAGAGCAGATATTCGTGAAAACTTCATTATTAGCGTGGAATCCGTCGTCGTGGGAGGAGTGAGTTTATTTACCCTCGAAAAAAATAAACGTTCCTCACTTCAGAATTTAATACAAAAGAATTACAGTAACTTGTCTGTATTAATAGGAATTACTTGGGAGCGAGCGTGAAGAGACGAAAGCTTGGAGGGATGACTTACTCGTGAAATTTCTTCATCACTCAAATTTAGCTCCTGCGAAGTATAGACCAGAGGCCTTATATGATGCGTTTTCTAGAACGAATGTTCTGGGACCTGAGCATATCTTAGCTCTAGCACGAACATTTTACTAAATATTACTATGGCATTTTAGAGACCTTGAAGAGGCGGGAGGACTGTTTAATCAGTCTGATCATTCATAGCCTTGGAATGAGGGTTCCATGACTATATACTCCGTGGCTGAGGCCTATTTTTTGCGCTTATTCTATCTACCTGTAAATTTCAAATCGATGTAGCATGCCAAAAATTTATCGTCGACTCCCCTATTAATAAAAAATTTTTCTTGGCAATTTTCAATGACGGCCCGTCATGCAAATTTAATAATAGAATGTATATATACTAACGGACTTTTGAATATTTCATATCTTCTATAAGAATATTATCGATCATGTCATCTGAGCTTGAATTATTGAGACAGCGTATCACCGATCTTGAGGCCGAGAATGCGAAGTTGAGACAGATTATTGAGGAGAATGCCAAGCGTGATGTTGAGAATGGCGAACACAAGGTTAGAATTGAGGAATTGGAGAAAAATAGTGCAGATATTTCAACCGAGAATGCTGAGATTAAAGCTGAATTAGCCAAATTAAGACATGATTTCGAGGAGTTAAAGACTCGAAGCTATGCTTCCTCCTCCAACCTCACTAGGCCTCAGCAATCCCAACATGTTACTAATATGCAGAACTCATGCTCTGTTGGAGAAGAAGATATATGTTTGGTAACAGCTGTACCACAGCCAGATGCTGAGCCCGAGAGGCACTTAGCTTCGAATGATATACCTGATCCTGTAATATACCAGTGTGTTAGTATAGCTAAACAGCACGTAGCTGATAACTCGAACATCAAGTCAATGGAAGAAAGGGATACAGACACTTTTTTAGATGAGGCGTATAAGAAAAAAGTTAGTGATGAGATTAGGCAGAGGAATAAGGAAAAGAAATCATTGCGTGAATCGGCTACCCAGGACTTGTCTGGAGTCTTTAATGAGACCACCTCTTCTGTAACGAAGGATGAAAAATCTAAATCACATAAGAAGAGGGAAGCGGAGAATATTGAACAGGATGTGTTTGATTTCACAGCCACTTCAGCACATGAGAAAAATCAGCCGAAAGACGCATTGCATATGACTGAAATTTCCATGACGGCTCGTCACGAAAAATCTGATACGGATAATCCCAAATATATTGCAAAATCTAGCCTGCTTAATACAAGAAGCGTGGGATGCGAAAGATGAAGCGATTCGAGCTAATCAAAAAGAATTATTGTGTTGGTGTTCCTATATTATAGAATTCGATAAAAAGACTGTAGAGTTTATGAACGAGTATAAAGTTGGCGAGAAAAAAGCAAAAGGTATTATTTATGACGATCTTATTAAACTCCTTCCTGCTGGTACTAAACGCAACACAATACTAAAACAAACTCAGAGAGCAAGAAGCATATACAAATTATTTGAGAAAATAGGAATTGACAAAATCAAATATATCACAACGTATAGCGCGAATTCTATATCGGAATTATCTGATAGTCAAATTCAAACTATTATTGATTATTTCTCCGAAAATCCCAACACTGAATTACCAGATGGAGTCCCTTTGGGTCCTGATCAGGATGGTCCTTTTATAGATTCCGAAGAGGATATTTCGAATGATCAGGATAATATATTGGAGGAGCAAGCAAAACCCCTGGTTTCAGCAACGTTGGCTGAGGTGAGTACATCGGCAAGTGTATCATCTGCATCCCAATCTAAGCCCGATCATTCCTATTTTCGCAACAAGATATTGGATCAATATCCTAATCTATATAGAGAATGTAGTATTGAAAATTTCGACTATTATGGGATTACTGATGAGACAACATGCGGGGACTACATCTGCCCATTATGCAAATTAGGTCATGATGATGAAGAAATAGAAGGTACGTATAATACCGGATCTTACTTTATTAAATGTGAACAGCGTGAAATTGAGATAGTTGCATAGTCTTACCCCTCAATCAAAGATTTCGGGGTGGGAGAAAAGTGATATATTTCTTACTTGCAGGCTCGCAGGCTCCGTATAACAGATAGGATTTTTTCTCACCCTGCAGTTCGAAGAACAAAGGAGCGGGGATTTAAATTGTTTGCAGTCATATAAAAAGGAAAATGACTGAGTCTGATAAAATACTAACTGCCGAATATCTGGATTGGCATACCAAATTAATTGGATTACAAAGTATTTTGACAGATAAGATTCGTTCCAAATTATACAAAAGATATAAAAAACAAACTGGAAATGAGCCATGGCAACTAACGGAAGTACATGAATCGGAAGTTATAAATTCGAAGTCAGAAAAAGGGCCTATAACTTTTGAAGTCAGACCCGATCCAGAATTAATTATCAAATCCGTCTTAAGAGCACTTCCCATACTTGAAATTCAGAAATAGTTTCAGAGGGATTGATAATTATAATTTTGCCGTGGAGCTCACCATGTCCTATTTGCGATGGAAAACATGGGAATTATGGATTACATGGCTCATGGTACCTCAAAAATGGGAATCAGCTCCCTTATGATCCTGAATTAGCGAAATTGTGTTCCCAAGATAAGTTAAATATTGTCTTACTTGCTTCACTTCAGGCAATAAATTCAGGTTCGCGATTGTGGCTTAGACTGGTCATGTGAGATCGATCACCTGGCCGAAGGCGCTAAGGCAAATGCGCAGAAGATATCGGAAAAACTCTTGCAGGCTGTGCGACGTGTGAAACGCATATATGTGGGTAATTCTTTTTGAAGGCGACAAAAATGCTAGTAGAATTTTTTTGGGGTGAGGGGTTAAGGCCCGGGACTTTCG